GAAATTTGATTTTGACGAATATATGCTCTTTTCATATAATTTGAGTAATAAGGATTGTACAGAATGTTATCATTTATTCAGAACTAGAGCTCAGAAATGCACTTTTAAATTTCTGTTGCTTTTTTTTTGAGAATTTTCAAATTCTCTGAATTATTATTTTCAACTTTTGGCAGTGACGGTACTCCAAATCCAACCTTGAAGCACAAAATTTCATTTATAAAAATGAAATAATTTACTCGTACAGAGTGGTTTAAAATGTCAGAATAAAAATTAAAACAGTAAATAATTACAAAATATAGAAGATTTTTAACTATTTCAGTGATAAATTAAATCATTTGGTCGTTCCTCTGAGGAGAATAAAATGTGGCAACACCGTATTTTTTATAAGTTGGTTAAACTGCGTGCTGTATACATGAGATTTCTACTGTTTGTTTGTGTTTGTATATTTGACGTGCGGATAAAGGTTAATTTCTCCACAATGCCAAAAATATTAAGTTCTTACCGTTGGAAAGGAAAATTAGTAAGCAGAAAAGTGTATAAACAGAAACTTCTTCAACAAAAAGGTGGGAGAGAACGCAGAAAAGTGCCTATCTCAACAGAAAATGAAGAAAGAATTGAGGAGACTGACGGACAACGCATCGTTGATTTGAAGTTCCTGGGCCGACAGATGTGGTGTATTTCGTGTAAAGAAGCTTTGTCTTTAGAATACATAGAAAACGAGATACGTCGAGGATTGGGTTCAGAATTGTTGATACGATGCCACAAATGCCTATTTATGAATAAAGTAGCGACAGGCACAGCGCAGCCTTCCAGTGACAAACGCAGTGTTCGTTTTAATATAAACTACAAAGCAGTACTAGGTACGATTGAATTTCTTTCTGTTTACTTTCTCTAGTATTTAATAATCATATTATATTGAATGGAGCAAAAACAGACCTTCAATCTTTAATACTCGGAAACCAATTGAGTAGAAATCTCTGCGTCACTAAAAAGCTTAAAAATAAGCTTTCAATGCCGTAAGCTTTCTTGCATTCTCTTAGTTTTCGAGATATGCAAAATAAAAAAAGATTCGTTTTATCTCATCCTCCTCTATTTTGTATAAGATGTATATCGTTTGTGTGTGAATTTCTTTAAATGTAAAATAATTTATTTACGTAGATTATTAATGTGCATGTGTATGAAATTTTCTGCTTTATAGGTGCTTTGCATACTGGATTAGGATGGTCTCATCTCCAAAAATTACTGGCATGTATAAATATTCCATGCTTGCAGCTCAAAACATTCAAAAAGTATGAACGAGAAATTGGATGTTTTGCGGAAGATGTAGCTAAACAAAGCTGCAAGGATGCAGCCTTATTGGAAAAAAAATTGACAATAGAACAAGCAGCAAACATCGAAAAGCAATTGTAATTCAGACGTAATTTTTTCTAAAAATTTTTTCAAATATTCCATCAGTAGGAAAAAGATAGAAGAAAAATTGCTTCCTTCTGTGAAAAATATGTTAGTATATATTTGATTTATAAATTTCCTTAGTAACAAAATCAAATAATTTCTAGAATTGTACATATATTATTATCTTTAATTATAAATATTATTTTGTTAATTCAGATGTGTTTATACATCATTATAATTATAACTTTGGCATCTGAAAACAGTTAATCGTCAGAAATTAAATTATATAATTATATATACCTATATATATATATATATATATATAATATATATAATTCAAATAGCAAGCAAAGTTTCTTCAATCAAATTTAAAATTAACTAGAAGTATATAACTGGAATAAAAAAGCGATATAAATAATGTTAATAAAAATATGTACATTTCGAGATAAAATTATATATATAATTATAAATATAATTATATATATATATATTTATATACAGTGTGACGGAACGTCCCTTTTTGGACCGTCCGTCACAAGGGATCTGCGGACCCGACCGCGGGCGGTAGCTTCGAGTCCTGTGTCCTTCCGATTTTCGGAGGCGGACGCGTGGCGCGGGCCGCGGGACTGCGTTTGCGTGGCTCCCGCGCCCGAATACCGATTATCGTTCGTAATTACTTTTTAGTCCGTAGCGACCTCGATTATTTAACTTAGCGTATCGGCGGTTCCCGGAGACCTTGTAATATTTCACCCGGTCTCACCGACGTCGCAGCAGCCACAGGAAGAGG